GGGGATTTTTCCAAATCCTCCAAAATCTTTCGTCCTCTCCCAAAATTCTTTCTCCTTGCTTTCACTCCCCTCTTTTTCCTTTAAAAGAAATATCGTTTGCTATAAATGAAGTAAAAGAAGGAGCTTTATACAAAAAAAAGAAAAAAAATACAACAAACATTTTTCCTTCTTCCTCCTCGGTCGTTTCTCTCGTTCTAAAAATTTCTCCAAAATTAATACTCCGTTAAGTATAAGAATGAAAAGGAATCATTATTTCTTATCCTTAAAGACAATCGTTTGCTAAAATTAGAAAAATGAAGCTTACCTCACTCTCCCGCACGAAGCCGTCCGCCCGCCCTCTTCAACTGAAACTTTCTTTCTCACGATTTCTCTTACCGAAAAGAGTGAACTAACTATATTTCATGAGAGTTATTAATTTATTCCTACGACCGCGATTGCAAACCGACCCTCCTAAGCTCGCTCGTGCTCGAGATTGGCTCGCCTCTGTCGCGGTTTGTCTGCCTGCTTCGTTCCCCTGAGTCTGGTTTTAAGAGAAGTTGGCCATTTTAGTTGAACCAAACCAGCTAACGCGGCCATTACAAACTAATTGAGGAGCATATCTGGCTAATGTTGTAAATTCAGCCTCATACTGCATAACTGATCCATCTCATTATACCAATCTCATAAACTTGTCCTGCATTTCCCTCCTCCCAGAAGGAGGTACGAACCAATCTCTGAACACCCGAGTAAAATCATTCCACTTATTTGCATGCAGGGATTCCTTCAAATTTGTCTTGATACAGACCTCTCCACCGCCTTTCAACTTCTCCGTTAATTACGAAGGTTGCTAAAGAAACTTTTCTCTCCTCTGGACAATTCATTCATTCTAAAATCTTTTCAATTCTTAATAACCAATTTTCAGCTTCTACTGGTCTCTCAACTCCCTTGAATAATGGTGATCTCATATCATGAAATAATTTTAGATACTTATACATAGCCATTCCCCCACCACTGTCTTGAATTAATTGAGTCATAGCTGTCATCATTTGTGCCAGTGCATCCAGGTTAATAGGAACATTAGGTGTTGTTCTTTCCACTTCTTCCTCTTCTCCATACTCATTTTGGTTCATGTTTATCATAGCATAATCATTTTACATTAAATCATTAATAATCATCCTAATGACTCTTTCAGTATGATTCATATTTTAACTTCGCTCTGATACTACTTTTGTCACGACCCAGTCAGGATGCTTGATTTAACGAGGTGGATACTAAGAGTTGGACGGTTTAAAAAAAAAATCATTAAAAAATACACCACTTTCTTATTTGTACTGAAGAGCCACTATGTCATGACCCGGCCCGGGTACTCGAACAAACGAGGCGGGTACGAAAAGTCGGACGATAAAATTCATTAAACACTATACTATTTCAATTATACTAAAGAGCCACTAACCACAAAATGTAAAATTACCTGTTGTCATTTGCACGTCGTCTTCTGTAAACATGTTCTTCTCTTTCAATCATTATTTCTTTAGAAATATACCTAAAACATTTAAACTCGTGGGTTGAGTTCACTAAATAAACTCAGTGGGTATTTAATTAAAACAATCAATATGCATATAGATATGTGGATTATATCCTTCCTTAATCTTATTTCTTTCATTTCATTGATTTATACTTTCAAATATCTTCATTTAAAACAATTGTTACCTTTAATATTTCATTTATATTGTCTTTTCCCAACTGTTTTGCACAGGAGCACCGTCTCAAAGTACCCAAAGGTACAACCTTTTCCATTTGATTTGCTTTTCCATTTCCATATCATTTTCCTTTTCATTTTTCGTGCACGAGTACGGCGTCCCCAGCCAGTACCATAAGAGGGTGAACTCCTGTCGTTTTCAATACCTTTTCCTTTATTCACTTTTCTCTTCTTTTCTCATTTTCATTCTTATTGTTTTCTTCCTAAACTTTACTTTCTATTTCTTGATATACTCATTACATATCATTTTTCTTTCCCATAATTATACTCATACATGTCGTTGCTTATTTTAGTTAATCATTTCCAACAGTAGCAGAAATCATAAATCGAAATAATTTCATATAAACTTCTTTCTAAATGAAAAATAGAATTGAAATAAAGAAATTTAAACTTTTATAAATACCCACTTTAATCCTTCAAAATTCTTAATCCTTGGAGCAACCTCAACTTTGAGTTCCTACAACATCCACAAAATATAACTTCTATAAAAACATGCTTTCATAACAAAATTGAATTAAATTTGTTTACGAAAAGTTACTTACTAAAGGAGAAATAGGAATTTTCTAAAAATCCCTAAATCCTTCTCTCCCAAAATTCTTCTCTTTGCTTCAATTCTCTTCCTTTAACTTTAAGAAACACATTATTCGCTTTAAACAAAGTAAAAGAAGGAAACTTATACAAAAAAAAAAATCGTAAGAAAATCCAACAAACCGTTTTCCTTTTCTATCCTCGTTTGTTTCTCTCGATCTGAAAATTATTCCTAATTTAGCACTTCTGTAACAATAAGGATGAGAAGGAATGATTAATTCTTATCCTTGAAGGAGATCTTTTGCTAAAATTGGAAAACGGAACTTACCTCGCTCTCGCACGAAGCCCTCGGTCGTCCGCCCGATCCTCTATTTCACGAATGCTACTGTTCCGCGAACCTTCTCTGTTCGCGGTATTAAAAGGGTGGGCCGGCCGGTTCAATTGAACCGGCCGGATGAACCGGTTGTCACACACTAATACCCAAAATTTAAAACCTTTTCCAACTATTTCATTTTCCATTTCCATGACCTTTTCTTTTTTGCGTGCACAAATACGACATCCCCAGCCACCATAAGGGGGTGAACTCTTGTAATTTTCGTACATAACATTTTCCTTCTTTTTCATCTATTTTGAATATTTGTTATTCAATACATATGTCATTTCTTTATTTGCATATTTCCTTAATACATACCTTTACCTATATCATAAAACATTCTCCTTTATTCATATTCATAATTTCATTCATGTTAATTGATTCTTTCATTTTCTGTTGTAATAATATTTATAATCATTTAGGTATTTAATCTTTCAACATTTCACACGTGATAATCTTTAAAAATAAAACCTTGAAAAAATATTATAATACAAAATATTATATCGTATTGAAAGAATAATACAAAATATTGAATTTTATAATTATAATTACCCACTTTGAACTTTTCAAGTCTTTGACGTAGGGTACAACCTCGAACCTCAATTTCCCCTTTCTTGTTGAATCCTTGGTTAATCAACTTCTACAACCTCGATCTCTCTCTCTCTCTTCAAAATCTTTGACATCAAACAATAAAATTTTCATGAAACTCGCTTTATCTAATAAAACTTCAAATATTTCATGATAAAAATTACTTACAATGGGGATTTTTCCAAATCCTCCAAAATCTTTCCTCTCCCAAAATTCTTCTCCTTCCTTTCACTCCCCTCTTTTTTCCTTTAAAAGAAATATCGTTTGCTTTAAATGAAGTAAAAGAAGGAGATTTATACAAAAAAAGTGAAAGAAAATCCAACAAACCTTTTTCCTTCTTTCTCCTCGGTTGTTTCTCTCGTTCTAGAAATTTCTCCCAAATTAACACTTTGTTATCTATAAGAATGAAAAGGAATTTTTATTTCTTATCCTTGAAGACAATCGTTTGCTGAAATTAGAAAAATGAAGCTTACCTCGCTCTCCCGCAAGAAGCCGTCCACCCGCCCTCTTCAACATAAACTTTCCTTCTCACGATTTCTCTTACCGGAAAGAGCGAACTAACTATATCTCATGAGAGGAGTCGTTAATTTATTCCTACGAACACGATCCTTCATTCAGAATCGCAAACCGACCCTCCTAAGCTCGCCCGTGCTCGCGATCGACTCTCCTCTGTCGCGGTTTGTCCGCCTACTTCATTCCCCTGAGTTGGGTTTTAAGAGAAGTTAGCCAATTCAGTTGAACCGGCCCAGCTAAACCGGCCATTACATCAGGGATCATATTGGTCATTTTCTCACTGTAATAAATAGAAGGATTGGACCACCTACATAGGTGAAGTCTATGTCTCAAATTTGATTAAGCAAATTTTTTTTGGAGTTCGTTAAGTCATAATTGAAGAATGTTTAGGACATAAGGTTAAAAGCATAAATGTTGTGGTCAAGATGCATATAGAAAAGTGGAGAGTAAGGGTATACAATATCAGTTCCGTTTATTACTTTTCTAACAAAAAGGAAGAGGTGAATGAATAGATTGGGATAAGCAAAAAACCTACGAAGAGAAGAATGTGAGGAAGTGTAGGTTGGTGATTAACATTAGAGGGGAAAAAAATAGAAGCATAGAGAAAATTATGAAAAAACATGTCATAAATACCATATTTAACATGGAGAATGCACGAGTAAAACATAATACAATCAATCTTCATAGAATATACGAAGTATGCATTGATGCCAATTTAATGTAGCATGGGTATCAAAATAGTGGACATAATAATGAATTTGTGAGAGAAGAAAATTAAACAGAAAGATAGAAAAATAGGGATAGAAAGACGGATATTCTTAAGTTGTATGAAGTTTAATCATCACAGCACAGGATCATTTAATCCTCAAGAAAAGGTGTTGAATCTTCGAAGAATGAAGGAGAAACATATTCCTAGAAGCATGGAGGATAAATGAATCCTGAAGCATCCAAAAGTGCTAAGATTTCAGAGCTAGAGCAAAAAATATTTTCTTCAGCTTCATATGAATTACATAACCACAAGCACCATTGACAATAGCTTGTATCATTCCAAATCACACACAAAAAAAAACTGAGGAACTACCAAACTAGTCATAAATGACAAATAACAAAATAACCCTAAATAATTATGAACACAAATAAGGCAATAATGACCCATATAAAGCATAGCAATCTTAGATAATGAACTATGCTTGCCATCCATAAATGTAAACACTATTTGAGTCATCAAAAGCATATCAGAAAAGTGGATTAAAAGCCAACCTTTCTAGCCGTAATGAGGATATTATGAAGAGCTCCAACAACATCAGATCTTATATTTGAACGAAGAACAGTTGCATTTGAAATAAGAGTCGTACAATACTGTTCCAATTGAACAATGGAGAGTGGAACTGGGACCCAGTACTCTAGGAACTTTGATGAGTCAGTTTTGCACTCAAAAACAATATGGCGTGCTAATTTCTCTTTCAACTTAGTAAGTGAAAAACGAGTGTCATTATTATTGGCCTTCAAGCCAACCAAACCATTATCCATAGTTCCTCCAGTGTTGAGGAAGGAGAGCAGCAGACGGTATTCAGAAAGGCTATCCTGGAAAGTTCAAAAAATAAATAAACATAAGTGAAATCATAACAATAAAAAGGTAATTAATAGAAGTTATTACCTTCATTTGACCATTAAGAAGTAGGAGTTTAAAATCGGTGTTTAGAGTATTTAGCTGTTCCAGTTGTCTAGTCACCGTTGAATTCTGACATCCATCAACTATTATTGCTTCCCAGCCAATGCAAGATATATCAACCAAGTCCTGTACAATAAGGAAATCGTAAAAAGAGATGAAAAAAACAGCTAATAAAATATAGATATAATGTACACAAATTGCATGATTTAGAAGAAATAAAGTCATAAATTCAATTGGTAAATTGCAGCTGTCAAAAAAACGTAAAGAACTAAACTATGCATCCACAAGCGCAAGCAGGAAGGCACCTACACAAACGCATGCCAAAAACCAAGGTTTTGAAAACCGGACCGGACAACGAACCGGAACAAGGAGAGGTTCACGGTTCGACCGGTTCAACCGGTCTAACCGGGGTCGAACCGGATGACGTAATAAATAATAAGTATTATTTAAATTTAATACAATTAACATAAAATTAATGTTATCATTCAAAGTATGAGATAAAAATTTAAATTAAAAAAAAAATTATGAAACATAAAAACTTATATAATTAAGTAAAATAATTATTTTAAAATCTTACATAAAAGCAAAAAAAAATTTAAATAAAATAATTATAAGAATTTACACTCAAAAAAATATGATAATTTTAAATTTGAATATTTTTCAAATTTTAAATTTAATTTATATATAACCATATAATTTAATATATATTATTATTAATTTATGTTACATATTTAATATAAATTTAATTCTAACATAAGTTTATAAATTTAATATAAATTATTCTTATTTTATATTATATGATTAAATATATTTTACATGTTTATGATATATTGTATACAAAAGTTATTTTATAAATTTATATCTAAAATCATTAATAAATAAATAAAATTATTAATGATAAATTATTTTTTATTATGTATAAATAAATAAATTTTTATTATTAACTAATAAATAATTATCACTCACATAAAAAATAATTAATTAAAAAATCTGTTTAAAAATAGGTTTTATATCCATTATATATGCTATGAACTCATACACTCCTCATCTCTTTTCTTTAGTCCCACATCCCTTAGAAACACTTTCTTGCTATTGTTTATATAGAGCATATTTAGATTCCTTGCACTAAGGGAGCACATGGGGAGATCATGTGAAGATGTGTCATGATGCTTTGAGTACAAAAGTTCTTATTATATAAAGTGTATTTAACTTTAATTAAATATTTTTAATATATATTAATTTATTTATTTAAAAAAATATTTAAAATTTGTGAGATTTGAACCGGCCGGTTCAAAAATAATCGGACCGGTTCACCGGTTCACGGTTGAACCGGCCGGTTCTGACCGGTTCAGTCCGGTTCTTTGCAGAAGCGGTTTTAGGGCTGAACCGAACCGGCCTTGTGACCGGTTCACGGTTGAACCAGTCGAACCGGCCGGTCCGGTCCGATTTTTAAAGCACTGCCAAAAACAGTGACAAATGTGCATACACATACAGAAAAAGGCATGCAAACACATGCATGACACAAAATTCATATTCATTGAAAAAAAAATAACATTGTTAAGCAGAAGAATAGAAACTAGTTAAAAACCATACTTCAACAACTGCCATAGGATCCGCCAAAAGCACTTGAAACATTAGGCGGCCACTTTCCTCATAAAATTCAAGATTCTGAATCGTCTTCCTAGCATCTTTATCACCCTGGTACATAATTACATTCATTGATGGAGCCAAGCGGAGAAAGTCGACTTGCCATAATTGAAGGAAACCTGATGTTGCGATGATAAGAGAAGGTCGACAAGCATGGGATTGTAAGGAAAGAACAAATAAGACTGATTTTGAGATCCGTTCCTGCAGAAAATCATTCCTCAGTACACAACAACAACAACAAACCTTTATCCCATTATGTGGGGTTGGCAAAAATCATTCCTCAGTGAACGGTATATAATATTTTTCCAATAATCACATGTAACCTACTTAGCATAAGACCATTGATGACATAATTTAAAAATGGAAGCACAATACAAGGAATAACATCAGAAAATAAAAAAACTATCTAGCTGGTTAAATGCAACATTATTTTCTAGCATAATGAAAATATGTGATGGTACAAAAATGACAGGCCATCTGATAACAAGCAATGGACCAAGTATTCATCGGATTAATATTAAGCTAGGAATTGACCAAAATATTCATTGGACAAACATTAAGCTTAAAGGTGTGAAGCCTTTCAAATATCAAACAAGCTTTCTTCATCCGCACCTTCAAGCCGATCAAATTTTCTCAGCAATTGTATTTCATACATCACAAAACACAGCTCAAACAACATCAAAAAGAGATCAAGAAAACCAAGTGAAATTTTAAAAAAATGAGCACTTAACCAGTAAAACAAAGGTAGTAGGAAATATCTCAAAATAACAAGATTGTGATCTTGTGAGATAGCATCATTTTGAGAAATCTTCAAAAGAAAACATTCTTCGAAAATGCTTGTCCTAACTTCAAAAGTTTGGTGAAATGCTGATTTTAAGTTTTAGCAAACAATACTTTTTTCAGAAAATATAGGCTAAGAAAGTGATGTAGGTAAAGGGGGGGTCAACTCAAACCCAAAATAAGTTGGTTTTGACTTCCTTGAGCTTACAAGCCCAATAAAATTTGAGTTGGAATTTAGCTCATTTATGAGCTCGTTTTTAGTTCATTTATTGAACTAAAGGTTAGCTCATTTATTAGCTAGGTTTTAGTTCATTAGTTATCTTAATTAATGTAATTTTTATTATAGTTTTTTATATGTTAAATTTAAGTTTGTCCTTGGCTTCCACGGGTTGGCTGTTTCCATGCATTGGCTCCTTGGTTCTCACGGTGGCTGCTGGTTTTCCGAACTGGGGGCTTTCCCGTGGCTTTTGGCGCCTCGGTTCCGTGTGGTCTCTTTGGTTCCCGTGGCTACTCCTTCGGTTCCTTGGCTAGGTTGTTTTCCCGTGAAAAGCAGGGGGCTTTTCCGTGGCTTGTGATGTTTGGATTCTTATGGGAATTCAATTAGTGTGGCTGCTTGTATCCCCCTTTCATACCTATAAATATGAGGGGTTTTGTAATGTTTTAAAAAAGTGAAAATGTGATTTTTGGAAGCTATAACCAGCGGGTTTGCTTGGAAAAGCTTGCGAGCTTGTTCCACTCTCATGCTCATCTCCTCTTTGGAAATCTTGCGAGCTTTTTCCACCCTTCCTCTCGGCTTCTAACCTCTTTCGTCTCTCCGCAAGTGACCACCTCATGTGTATCCCTCTTCTAAAAAATAAGCAAGTTTAGGGTGTCTTGTTAGAGTCTTTGTTTGTAAGTCGTTTAATTTTAAGAGTTGTAAGTCTTTATTTATAAAAGTGTTCGTTTATATGAAATGTAAGAGTTAGTTCTAAAATTTCTAAGTTCTCTTCTTTTTGGGTATTTTGTGTCTTCTTTTATAGGAAGTTGTTTTTGTTTTTTGTGATAAAAAATTTGGGTCCCTCTCCCAAATTTTTGATTGCATTAGAAAGCTAGACTTTTTCACGAAATTCTGTTGTACCAGTTTTTATTAAAGTTTTCATCCAGTAATGCATTCATTGTCGCAGATTCTACGGTAACTCCATTTGAGTTGAGCAAATTACTGTTGTATTTAACCATGTTAATAAAAAGTAAAATCAAGATTGTTTTCAAGTGAAAACCAACAAAAAAATATTTTCATATTTTGTTACATTGGTTTAAAATGAACAAAGGCGTTAGTTTTGAAACTAAGAATGGATTTGCTAAATGAAATTTGGGGAATTTTTATATAAAATAAAAAATTATGGATACAATGATTAGAAGAAAAATAATATTTTTCATATAACAACAACGACATCAAGCCTTTATCTCACTATGTGGGATCGGCTACATAAATCATTTTTATTCATTAAGTCCTGTCAAAAGTTAAATATTTTTATATGAAAAAAAAAATAATATGGAAAGATAAAATTCAAATTGCTTTGGAGAAGAATATAGGGTATCTCATGTTGGAAAGATAACAATAAAATAAGAATGATAGTGGATAGAGAGTTGAAGATGAAATTATCAGGACAAATATGATTTACATAGGGTTATTGCTATGATGCACCAACACTTATTGTCAAAAAAGAATGCAGTGTCTGACATGTATTGTAAGAGTCGGTTTAAACTGGCCGGTGCAATTGAACCGAATAGCCTCTAAATAGCCACGCGAACAGCGAGCAGAAGCTGGGCAGACCGCACGCACACTCAGCTGCTTCGAACGGGCTCGGCTTGCGGTTTTGAGCAAAGGAACGTGTGCGGGGAAGAAAGTAAATGATTCCTCTCTAAATATAACTTCCTCCTCTTCGTTCATTGTCGCTAAAGAAGCAAAATTTAGAGATGAGGCAGTGAACGAGAGGAAGAAGGAAGGAAGGTTCATTTGTCGATTGCTTTCCATTTTTGTATAAATCATTCCCTATTACTTCATCTAAACAATGATGGATGTTTAATTAAAGGCAAAGAAAAGATTGAATGCGGAAAGGAAGAAATTTGAAGAGAAAGAGGAAAGAATTTTGTTATTTTCTTCTGAAGTTTCTCTTATTCTTTGATAGTGGAATAAAGAGTAAGTATTTAAACTATTATTATTTTTTTCATATATTCATATATATTAAGTATTTAAACTAATAATTAAGTTTGACTTAGATAAGAATTTATATTCTCATTTTGTAATTGAAGAAGCATTATTGTTGTAGGAAGAACACAATTATAATAAACTTTGGTTCGCCAGTGAAGGAAGGAGATTTGCAAGGAAGGAGATTTTTGATGAAGTAATTATTTTGTTTTAATGAAAATTTTGGTATGAAGAGTTCGTTTATGTTATGATTAATAATGTTCAATTAAGTAAAAGTCCTCTTTAGAAAAGTTGAAGAAAATTAGATTATCGTAAGAAGAATAGAAATCGTTAATGTTGCTTTCAAGATATATTTGGCTACTCCAAGTTGAAGTTTTATATTAATTAAAATCTCATTAATGTTATTTGAATAGTAGAAGATTTTCATAATTAAGTTGAGACGAGTATTAAAACCTATAGCAAAGCTTGGGGTTTGGAAGGAATTAAAGCTCAGAAATATTTAAAGTAGGTAATTATAATTGTGTATAATTTTATTATTGTATTTTCATTTCAATTCTGAAAGTAATATTTTATATAATTGTTTTACTTATTTTTAGAGAATATTATGATTAAGGCAATATAAATTCAAATGAATATATGCTGGTGACAATTTGATATATAAATTATTATGACTGAAAATATACATTGATTATCAAGAGAGTATGAAGGTATATGAATATGTGTAATAAGAATATAAGAATATAAGTAAAGAATGAGGAAAGATATGATAAAACTTATAAATTATAAATAAAGCATAAATGAATAAATGAAAAAGGAAAAAGGATATCATGCTAATTACAGGAGTTCATCAACGTATGATATTAACTAGGGAAGCAACATTCTTGTGCAAGTTAAATGAAAATGATTGTACATTTATATATACATTTAAAGAGTGCTCCTGTACTAATTGAATTGAAAAAAGAATAAATGTTAAATTGTTATGAAATGTATATAAAATGTATGAATAAATGAATGAAATGAAAGAAACACTAAATGTTATATGAATATACATATATAAATGTTATATAAGTTTTAGTGTTGTATAAGAAATGAGAAAAAGAACATACATTGTATCTTATATATGTTTAAATGTTATATATAGAAAGATTACTCATTAAGTTTACTATATAAATTCAACCCATTAAACTAACATTTTCAAGTAAGTCTCCAAAGAAATAGAAATGGCTGAAAGGGAGGAGTACGTCTATAAAAGACGGCGTGCAAATGAAAACATGCAATATATAATTGATGAAAATATTTAGATTGAAAAATAATATCAACATTTTATGAAAATTTTGTAATAGTGGCTCTTCAATTTTATTGAGAAGTTGAATGTTAAATTGTTTATGAAATTAAATGAAATGTTACACCCATCCGACTTTTCATTCCGACCTCGTTAATTCGAGTATCCGGGCCAGGGCGTGACATGTATTGGATATGATACACATCTAACACACCTCCGACAAATATTGATGCAACCAAAATTATTGAAAGCTATGATTGCAAATTAAGAGACTTGTCTTCCTTTCAAAATCCTTTAAAGATGACAAAACACACTAAATTTGACACTATAAACTTGTAACAACAACACAACTAGCATATAAGTTTTGAAAGAGAAGAAAGATACAATGGGGTGGACACTTGCGGAGAGAAGAAATAGATAAGAAGCCCGAGACAAATTTAAAGAGGGGAAGGGAAAAGAAGCTAGCTAGCAAGCTAGAGAAAACCTACAGGTTTACATTCCAAATATTTTCTCACTCACAAAAACTCTCCTAAATCAACTACAAAACAACCCTTGAAGAAAAAGTTAAAAAAAAAAAAGAAAATTAATACATGTATTTAATGCACCTCAAAATCAGCCAATCGAATAGCCGTGTAAGCCGCAGCAAGCAGGAATTGAAGGGGCAGCCACCTAGGGAAGAAACTGAAGAATCAAAACAGCACAAAAGTGGGGGAAAACCGAAGCATTAAATGACTCATAAAGGGGAAACCGAAAAAGGCATCTTTTGGGAATTAAAATCGGCATGGGGAACACCCAAAGGCCTATTTTGCATGCATCAAATATCAGACACGTCGAAAATATTTCTGATTAAAAAATACTAAAAATAAATTAGACGCACATGTCCGACACACGTGTCTAAAATATTTTATGAAAAATTATTTCAATAATTTATTGTATCTGAAATTTTTATTT